TAGTATTTTCGAAGATTTCAGTACCTAAAACCTTGATGGTTTGATCGTTTTTTGCACCTGTTTATTCGTTTTACTGCGGCGTCTTTGAAAATACCCAGATGGCATGACATAACATTCCTATTATTTGATAAGCTTTAGATTATTCAGTTATTAAATGTTTGAAATTATTTGTCTTTGCGGAAAACACTATTTAAAGAATATGGGGCCCATAAGCTGTAGTTGAATGCAGTCCTAGTATCTGTTTTATTATTCATAAACCATGGAGCATTAACCAAAATAATTCCATTCCATCCGCCATTCGTTTCTATTTCCATTTATTTTTTTCTTCTATGGTAGATACCACAAAACATACGTAGATACAGGTTATGTTATTTTGAAGCATAATTTTGGTGTGGCTGAACAAGTTATCTCATAATTTTTTCTGGGCAGTATACTAGTACAGCCTAAAGCATTATGGTTTCCTGCCTACTTTGTAAAAATCAAATGAGGCATACTAGACATAAAAGTTTTCACAGGTAAGATGTTTGAATTTTTCTTTAAAATTCTATTCTATTTGCTCAATTTTTGCTGAAGGTTTCCAAGGAATCCCAAGAGGTACGAAAAATGGATCGAGTGTATAAATATGGTTAATTGGGTTCCGAAAAAGTATGATAGAATTTGCTCTGATCACTTTGAAAAGACAGATTTTTATTTTAGTAAGAATAAAAAAAGATTGAAAATAGATGCTGTTCCAAATCCAAATTTGGTATGTAAGATTATTTACTATTTTAAATTTTTTTGAACTTAGTGGACAAAATCACAAAAAAGAAACTCCTTAATTTCTTGCTGCAGCAATTAATTAGCATATTACTACTGAGTGCAGAGGTAGGTCATGAGTGCACTATTAGTAAACATAAGTAAATTTTAATTATTCTTTACTTTTTATCCGTTACTTGAATAAGTAACGAATACTGAGTATTCGATGAGAAAAGTATTGGATACTGATACTTTTTAAGTTTCGATACATGTAATCACGATAATCGGTAATATTCGGACTCAGTTCGGAATATTTACTGAACGCGTGGATTTCAGATTTGGCTCATAGATACAAATATTTTGTATCGGGTATCGGGTCTTGGAATATTTATCATGTACTCGTTCGACCAGTATCGCAAGGAAAAAGTAGTCGCGTTGTCGTCAACATATAGGATTGTTACTTAAGATGAAATACCTTTTTGTTGACATTTAATTAAACAGCTGTAAAATATATTTAATCAGTAATTAATCAATGTAATTATTTAATTCGTAGTTTGCTGCAGTATAGTAGATACCTATGCACCTGAAGAACGTAAATAACATATAAACATACAAAACTTAAATTATTTATAACATTTAAATAAATAATTATTTTCTAAATTTATTTATTTTAAACAAAAAAATATAGTATATATTCTACTCTTGTCTTATAGAAATTAGTCTTATAAAAATAGAAATACCTAACGAAAAAATAAATATCCAAAATAACAAATAATGTAATTTATCAATTCTAAACTATTTACTGTTTTGTGCGAATGCCTACTACTACAAAGTTTTATGAATAAATAAAAAATCGTTGCTGTTTAGAAAAATGATTTTGTTTACATACTTGGATTTTAATAATCTATTATTGCGCCGTTCTGTTATTATTTGACCTGCCTTAAAGAATATACGTTCACTTGGAACATATGTAGCCACGATGGATAAAAGTTTATTTGCTAATATTGACAATGTAGGAGGGTATTTCGAGCTTGTGGTTGACTTTTACAGGAAGTCAGCGTAGAAAAAAAGCCACATATCGTGCCGACCGAACTATACATATAACTGTACTCGGTAACGAATACAAAGTAACGAGTACTCAAGATGAAAGTAACGAATACTCTGAGTACTAAAAAGTAACTGTATTTGACATCACTACCAAAAATTAACTCCCAATAATTCAAATATTAGTTTCTATCTGCAATTCTATCAAACAACGATAAATTTGATTATCAGGGCACCTGTAGTGTATCAAATTTCCTGTTCACGAGTATTATTTTCATTCTGCAGAGCATATCAGTATATCAAACCAGGACAAAAAATATTTTTAGTTAATTACAATTACTCCTTACTACAAAATGAATTTTATATTTTGTGATCATGATTGTGAAAATGTGATATTTTTAAGAATGTGAAAGATTGTTTTCTTATATGTCTATACAGATAAATCAAATTAATGTGAGCCTGGGGGTAGGATGCATAGTGGCAAAGTAGTGGAGTGGGGAATGGACCCTATATGGGTTATCTGATGCTTGCATTTCAGGAATCAAGTGAAATTTATCCATTTGTAAATTTTTATTAACATTCTCCGTTATTCTTTTATTTTAAAATGGAGTTTTAAAACATTAAGAATTTGGTAAATGCATCAGAAATGGAAAAAAATGCTAATAACTACTATTATTGTCAAAATGAAAATATCTATGAGTGACAAGTTTGAATTAGATATGGGAGACTGAAGAATTCCATTTGAAACAGATTTGTAAATTGACGTAAATAGTTTTATAACTAAAATTTGTCTATATTTTACGGGTGTGTTGAATTAATGGAAGTGATGGTCGTCAATGGTAGAATGTGTCATCTATTTTTATTGCTTTAGAAATACTGAGTGTTCCCTTTAAACGTCCTAGCCCAATATTTCCTTGTTAGCTGTTATGTGAATTTTTACTAATATTCTTGTGACTTACAGCTTGACCAAATTCATTTTGTCTGCAAGTTTCAGATGTGTAGTGGTAATTTGCTCATATATTGAAGTATATAATGTACTTATAACCTTCATTAAATTTTTGCACAAAAGTACCTGCCTTAGTTTAAGGTTCACTAACAAAATTCATTGTTCCATCTGTGTTCGGTAAATATCTGGATGTTTTTACAATATTTGTTAAGTACTTTTTCTTATATAAAAAATATTAGAATAGTATAGTACACAAGAATTACTTGAATTATTTATAGCTTAAAATTGAACATTAACAAATACCTCGACACAAATACATGAAAAACTCATCTTTACTGCATTTTTTAAACTGGAATTAAAACTTCACATCTACAGGGTGTTTATTAAACATACGGCAAAAATTCAATGGGTTATTCTCTGGAATATTCTAAGAGTAATTGTCCTTTGATATGATTAGGTACAGGGCGAGAAAAATTTTTGCAAATAACATTTTATTGCATGAAATACTTGAAGATCGTTTTCAACATCATTTCTCATTGAAAGTTTGAGTTGGTGAGTGACTGGCTAATAGGACCGGTATTTCTACAAGGAAGACTTACAGGAAACGTGTATCGCAATTTTTTTGAACAAACGTTACCTCAGTTACTGGAGGATGTACCATTGGCAACAAGAAATGCAATGCAGTTTATGCACGATGGTGCACTAGCGCATTTTAGTGTGGTTGCTCTTGAGTTTTTAACAGTAACATACGAAGATTGCTAGATTGGTCGAGATGGACCTATGGCCTGCTCGATTCCCGGACTTAGACCTCCTGGATTAATTCCTATGGGGCCATCTAAAGTCATTAGTTTATACTAAGTAACCACTTACTCCAGTGGAAAATGTGGAACATTTAAAAAATCGGATAATTGCTGGGTGTAACTCAATAAGAAGCGATCCTGGTGTTTTTGAAAGAGTTCGGCAATCAATGAGAATATTGAATTCTTGCATCGTAGCTGGGGGTAGTCATTTTCAACAGTTCTTATGGATTAAGAAACTTTACATGTAGTTTTGGGTAATAAAATGTTGTTATTGTTGAAAATTTTTGTCGCCCTGTATCTGTATCTTCGGAACAAATCCGCTATTCAAAAATTATCAGAGCACAAAATATTAGAGTAGTCCAGGGATTAACCCCTTGAATTTTTGTCGTATGTTTAATAAACACGCTATATGGGGAACTCCAGTGTTCCACAGAATTAATTTTCTAATTTCAATAAATCGTTTGAGATATTGATAAAGTGGCTATTCACTTTAATGTGGAATATTAATTATAATAATTCAAATATAAGAAATCAGATGTGGTGCTTTTAACCCTTGGCATGCCTGGTGGATAGAAGATACAACGAATGCGTGGTGGGCCTAATGGACTTATAATAAAATTATAATTTTTTTTAATTACGGGAAGACTTTAGAATGGTTTTCATATTATTTTTTGGTTTATCTTGTGATGTTCTTTATGAAATTAAATGCACAAACATATGGCAATAAATCTTGTGTTAAAACAGTAAACCCCTTACAAATAAACCCCTCACCCACGGTACACAAAAAAGGTCGAATAATCCAAGGAACAACAAAAATTAATAAAAACGCACATAAACGAGTACTTATGTAAATGTAATTGAAAAAAATATAAGGGTAAACAGAAATAATGTGGTACACAACCTATATGGTGTGCAAGAAGGTACATATGTAAATTCATTTAAAAAAATCAATTATATTTCGGTGAGAGGAGTGACGGACATCCTGAGGTCGGATATGAGGGGTTCTACTGTAGTAACAAACATCTAATATTTACGTTTAAAGTTAAAAATCTTACATTTGTGAATGAGATAAAATTCTTTTGGTAATTATTTTTAAACACTATTAAATGTTGTTATGTATTAACAGCAAATAGTAACTATAATTTTTAGCATGAGGCTCATGGGTGTAGCTAGGATTTTTGCTAGGGGTGGGCCCAGGACTGCAAGGTCTATGAAGGATTCTTTAAAAAAAAAAACGACCATGATGAGGCTTTATGCCTGGTGATCCTCCTGTAACAATATTTTTACTTCTTGTCCGGACACAAAAACTTGGAGGATTATGGTACCATATCTTGTCTTGTCTTTGCTTTTATAGATTGACCTTGCAATAAAATTAATTAACAGTTGATTCAACTCATCATCATTATAAGTTTCTGCTTCTTGTGTTTCTTCACCAGGAACTTCCTCCTCCTCATCTGAATCTTGCCCTATACACACATGATCAGACTCAACTCGTCTTCATCAATGTCCAAAGCATTACTTATTTGAGCGTCTGTCAGTGGTCTAGATATTTTTTATTACAATATATTTTTTACAGCAAACACAATAGAAAATTCACTTACCTATAGAAAGTTACACCGTATGCCTGGTTTGGTCTCTCATACCCATATGCACTTTGAGCACATGCTTTGGGCACAGGAGTATGCTCCAGAATGAGGGAGGGGCGTCAAAGTGATCTTGAATTCATAACGCGAAGCTACTGAAGTGCAGGACACGCTAAGTTTGGAATTTAAAATAATATCCGCAATTGTATGCATTAGTGGATTTGTCAGACCCTACCAGATATGCCAAGGATTAAGAAATACAAAAATTAACTGTTTTTTCTGCTCTAGTAGGCGCAACACCTAATATTACCATATATTTCAGTTCTCCAAAGTCTGAGTTTAAGGGTTCATCTTTTTTTGATTTTAATTAAAAAAAATTTATAAATCAAAATTTTCAATTTTTCTTTGATTACTTTTAAAAGAAACAGATAAAGGAGGAGGGTCAATAAGACTGGTTTTCAGCCCTATTAGAAATTCATCCTATCATATGGAATACGTTTTTTGAGTCTTCAGAAACAATATTAAATCGATTCTAGACAAAACGGATACAACCCTCCAACCCAAACATTGAAAAATGCTTAAAAGTGTAATAAAACCATTTTCCTTACATCTGATGTACAGAATCATATAAATAATATTTTTCGGGCAAGTAAAAACACTTGTTTATAATCATAAAAGTAAAAAAGTAAATTCTTACTCTTTTCCCCCTCTGCTCCCCCTCCCACTCAAGTGCATAATCTCTAAAAGATACTTAAATAAAGAATTGAATATAAAAGAAATTCTACATCATGTAAAGCCAGCACCCCAATTAAAGACAGGCAAGGAGATTCACATTAAACTATAACAAAAAATATTGGAAATGAACTGTAATATTATACTTAAACCCTATTTTTATGTCTGTTTATAAAAGTTAGAGAAACAAGATGGAGGTACAAGGAAGAAAAAGATATACCGGATGGGCGCTCAAATGGAAGGAGGTGGATTGACCTATCTTTAAACTAGAAACATTTCAATATTGTTTATATTAGACTGACACATAAATGTTTTTGTAAAATATCTTTAATATTCTTCAGTATCTTTCAGGGGTTACATAGAAGGGGGTCAAGGGTGGAGGGGCAGAGGTAAAAGTTTTTTTTTTAGTATATTAGTATAAGTATTTTATATTTTACTTAATTTGTACACTAAAAATGTTATTTATATGATTCTGTGCATCAGGTGTAAGAAAAATGGTTTTATTATATTATTAAAAGTTTTTGAGTGTTTTGGGTGGAGAGGTTTAATCCGTTTTGCCTAGAATCGATTTAATATTGTTGCTTTGGGTTCAAAAAACATTCCATATGTTTAGGATCAATTTCTGATAAGTCTTTATTGAACCTCCTCCTTTCTCTTTGACATGTCATTCATCATCGAATTTAACTATCATTTTTTAGAAAGCCAAAGAAGCTGATCCTATTCGTAGATCTAGAATAGGGTCAGTTAAACGCGAGGTTAAACGAGAAGGAAGTATACATAATTCAAGATCATTGCGCCCATTATCCGAATCAGAGAAAAGAATGACACGAATGGAAGCTAGAAGGAATATGACGACAGAAAGGAGAGGTGCTTATACACCCTCTTTAAAAAGGTATGGAATGGTTTTCAAAGACTGTATAATACCATTACATTTTAAGCATTTTAAATGTGTTTTAACATTGAAATTTATTGTAAATATGATATTTTGTCTAAAGATTGGCTTGCATACTACTACAGCAGTTGTCAATGGTTGAACAAACATCGTCGGTTTAGGTTTCTTGATGTTTCAGGAGACATCATTTTTCAAATGACTCATTCCAAAATTCCAGGTAGTTTGTCCCTTTGTCTCAACTGAAATTATTTTGATTCTTCTGGACTTTTGTCGCCACCCTGGAGAGTCTTGGCTAAAATCTGCTATCTCTCTCTCTCTCCCTCCTCCCTCCCCCTCCCTCTCTCCTTCCCTCCCTCCCTCTCTTTCTCCTTCCCTCCCTCCCTCTCCTTCCCTCCCTCTCTTTCTCCTTCCCTCCCTCTCCCCCTCTCCCCCTCTCTCCCCCCTCTCTCTCTATCTCTTACTACAATTCTTATATAGTTATGTCTATCGCATGACCTATATCTGCTCTGTGTTTCAGAACTGTTGATTTTTTCACGTCATTTTTCAAGCGATACTTGTGTGCTTCGTTTTAGAGATAGTGTTTAAATTTTAATTTTTAATTTATTTTTATTAATTATTTCAAAAAATTTTAAAGATATTGACTCGAAATTTGAAAACAGAGTTGAATTATTCTCAGAAATGTTTCCTATCCAGGTATATTAAATAGTACAAATATGAATAGGATTCATTGCGCATAACTTTTATTATTGACATTTTGTTCTATCTCTCGACAGAAAGGGAAGGGGGAGACCCCTAATGTCTGATCAGAAAAATGTATTTTTTAAGGATTGTTTCATCAGTTCTTGAATTGTTATAGATGGTATTCATTTTGGGTTTCCTAAGGTGCAGCTGATTTTGTTATTGCATTCTCTCATACAGGATGATACAGAACTTATCCAAAAATAAATTTGGATGTACAAAGGACTCTTACAAATACAATTTTGTAAGAAAAAATCAAAACGGATAGTTCGAAAATGATTTAAAAATACTTTTGCATGGCTCTGAAAAAACCTGACCCCACTGAAGTCAAAGTGTAATAGAAAAACGGACAAAAACTCGAGAGAATTTCGCAACCTATTTTACATCAGCAAATTCTGCCAGTATTATTATTATTATTATTATTAATTAATGAAATTAATTTATGGTTTTACTTAATAAAATAATTTGAAATACCTGATGTTAAAACAAACTGTTCAAAATTTTGGCCACCAACGTGTAAACACATTTGGACACGTCCTCCACAGTTTCTACGAACTAACACAAATGTTGTCTTGTTTCACCATAAATTAAAACGATATCCATCAACTCCGAGTTGCTATACACGTAAGCCATTTTTGACACTTGGAAAAGTAATGTAATACCTACTAAAATCGGATTTCAGTATTCGGAGTTGCCTGCTGCCACGTCGAGAGAGAAAGAGAGAGTGAATTGCGTATAGCGCATAACATGAATGACACTAGAGACTACAGTAGCCCAGCTATTCAAGGCTTTAAAATACTACAACTTTATTATTTTTTTTCTTGGAAACAGGATTTTACAAAAATTTTTTTAACGATATTGACTACATTTTTCATGCCGCATCTATTCCCAAATTTTTTTGGATAAGTTCTAAATCACCCTGTTTGTGAGAGATACATTGTTGCCAGATATTCCTCTTTTTTTCTTATTTTTGTGTCTGTAGGCTCATTCGTATTCCTGCTTGTTTCCATTTTTGAGAATAACATCACATCAAAACACTAGGACGTCACAAGTTGGATTCCCTTGATGTTGTCAATTAAATCCCCATATGGATAAAGCAAATAAAATGTGAAAATAATTCTGAAAATTTTTAATTAAATTTTTGTTTAATTTTTTTTTCAGGGAAAGTGACAATGAAAGTACAACTTACGACGAAACTGTTCCAGCAATCAAAGATGACCAGTAAGATAAAAATAAATTTTGCAGTGAAAAAAATATTAAATTTTTTTTACTTTGCAGATTAGAATTTTTGACTGTTATAGATGATGATGATGATTCTTCTGTAATTTCCAAAGATGAAGAAAAGCACCATCGCAAAAGGTAAAAATTGATTAATGCAAACAAATTTAATTGCTCACTGTCTGACGTTAGATTCAGATATATAATTTACTATTGGTCTACGTTGGTCTTTCTAGTTCTATAAAACGGGAAGTATTTATTTAACTGATTAGCTTTTTTTCTAGGTCTCTATCTCCACTGCAGCTTGATAGAAGTTCAAAAGTTTCCAAAAATTCAGATAATGAGTCTTCTTCAACTGAATCCGATGACCACAATTCACCATATGTACTATCAACTTCAGAATGTGATGAGGAAGCAGAAGTAAAAGAATCTTCTTCGAGAATTAGAAACAAGTAGGTTTCTAGTTAATAATGTCATATTTCATCTAATATTTTTCCAAGATTAATTAGTCCCAAATAACTAAAATCTGTTAAGGGTGCCGTTCCCACAAAAGAATGTTTTCGGTAAAGACAACAGAATCTAAACGACTGTTTAAGGTTTACTAAATAACAATAATGACACTCGGTTATTTTCAAGGACAACGGTTGACAGCAAACAAGAAAGTAACAAAAAACAAGTTGACATATTCATTACCAACATTTTTTTTAAGAGATAATATTGTTAGGGTATTTGGAATTTGATAAATGGTGTGAAATATGTATAGGTAGGATGACGTTAGAATTTTTTTTGTTTGGATAGTTTCATTTACATGTCATCCAAATTCATGCCATCCAAATGAGGCTACAAACAATTCAATAGCATCTCTCCATATCGTTCTCCATCGATAGTCACTTCGTTTAAAAAAAGAATGGACAAATTGCAATGACACTCTTTGGGTATACAGTGATCGTCCAAATTCGACAATTTTGTTTGTTCACATACCCACTAAGATGGAAATGTCTCTTAGCTAAAGATGATTTTCTTATCAAAATCACCGTCCAATTGCTGATTCTCCAGTACGAGGCTAGTCGTTTCATTTGGGGCGTTCCTTCTACTGAAAATTCCACTTAATTTGCGCACAGTCTCAGCTACACACTGTACTTGTAATGAATTTTCACAATCTTCACTCACTTGTCCATCGTCCATTTTGTCTAACTACAACATATCACCCTGTACAATGCTACCAACTCTTCAAAATGAAAATGGCACACAATTTAAATTTTTTGGACACCATTTATTTAAAGTACAATGGTTTTTCTGGTTCGAAAAACCATTGTATTTTAAATATTAGCACAGAACATGAAAGCCTTAAAACCATTTACTCCATTTCAGCATTTTATTTTCAAGTTCAACTTTTTTTTTAATATTTTTTCTGAAAGAATCTAGGTACTCTATGGAAAAAAATATTTGTACGAAACATTCTTTCAATTTTTGATACATTTGATTCGAAATATTCATTTAGTCGAATAAATATTTTTTTTTTAACAGCAAAATTAAAAGAATCGTGCATACATACTAGATTGATTGAAATGAGAATAGGAAAGTGAAATAATTTTTTTTTCAGGTGGGTAGGTCAACCTCGTTTCTTTGGCGACTGTTCTGTTGATGATATGAACAACCCAATTAGAGCCAGAATATGTTGGCATATTGCGAAAAAAACCATTTCAGACCTTAAGCTCAAGAATAAAATGTTGCAGCGTCACAACCGCCGATTGACATTGAAAATCGAGTGCTTGCGGTCACTGTTTTGCTATTTGGAAGAAAATAATTTTCTGAACCAGTACGCAAGTGCAGTAATTAAGGTAAATGTCCGTACTTAGTAACATAACATGTCTAACCCATATGCGACACTCTTTTGATAAGACACCAATGCCACCATTGACCTTGTCCATTTAAACTGGCTGCTAAACGTTGTCAGATTGAGCAATAAAAATTTGGAATATTGAATGAATGGGCACATAAAATGCCTACACCTATATTTATCATAATTTTCACTTAATTTGATAAAGTGTCTGTCTAAACGGGACAATAAATTAAATAACTAATGTATTAAAATAAAATTGCTCATTGTTTATTAATTTTTTATTAAAATTAATTAATTACAAACTACACATATGCTATACTTAATTTTACATTTTTTACATTAGGAATTTTACAAAAATTTTGATTAATAGATTATAAGTAACTTTATGAAATAGGAAAATTTGGACAGGGATCTTGAATTGGAGGTACATCTTTACAAAAATTATAAATGGTGCTTCCTAGGTAATTACAAATCCAATTATCAATCAAATTTACAAATATGTCATCTAACTGAGTAATGAACATAGAAAATATGTCATTTGGGGACAGTAAACTTCGACATCTAAAAGAACAATTTATATTGTAATAATTTACTTAATATTTAAACAATTTTTATATTTAAGATTATCCATATAGAAAGTAATAATTATACTTACAATTGTTCTTTATGAAACTGAAAAAAATGTATGTTTTTATTTTCTTTCTTGCATTTCCAATACTGATTTAGGCATCCTTTGTAACTGCCTATGACATAACAATACTCGCCTAATAATTGTTAATTAAAACGCCAGTTTTAAAAATAAATAACCTTTTTAAACATTCCAACATAGAAATAGAAAATAGAATTATTTTACTCTACAAAATTGATGTATCCTTACAGTTCTTTATTTCATACATATTCTGTTTATTGCCGAAAAAATAGTAAACTGAAAATATTATCTAACATTGTTACACAGCTGTTTTGTTTCGATTTATACCCCAATATATGCATGCGTCCAGTCCCTTTAACTTGGATATATGTCCATTCGTGTTGCACAAAGTAGCCCTTCCTCTCCGAGTGTCGCATATGGGTTAGATATGTGGTAACATCAAATTATTATTAGTTGGAGTAATATTGCAGCTTAACCCTTTAAATCACATTGCTGTCAGAAGTTATAACACAGATTTGGTGACTGCTGTGGCCTCTAGTCGGTAATAGCATTTTTTTAGTTCTGTTTAGGCAAATGCAAAGTATTAAAATGGAATATAATTGCCTTATTGAGACACCACATGGTGTTGTACTCGTAGCTGGTACATTTTCTGAGCAGGATGTAGAATTTGTAAAAATAAGTGATTCTGTGTATTTTTTAAACAGCCACAAGAAAACAATGACCTTGGAGACATTTTTTTTAATTTGCGGTGAATACTGACAAAGTGTAGATGCAGCCTCTCATTTGTATGGGCAAAGATTTTCATTGAGAAATCACGCAACACTGTGAATGTTAACTTATTTCAAAGAAGACATTTTATTCATTAAAGCAGTGTTTTTCAACATTTTTCATGTCGCGGTCCCCTTAGTATGGAAAAATATATCACGACCCCCTATCCTCCGCTATTTCTAACTTGTATTTTTTTATGTGATAAATATCGAATCTGCAAATCATTTTTATTTATTTTCATAATTAGGTATCGGCTAAATATGTAATTAAGTACCTAAAACAGACGGATTTTTTACATCGATTGCGTCGCCAACCGTCTTCACGGAAAAGCGATACGACAGTAGAGCTAACAACACGCGTGCGTGTAAGTGGCCGATGCGATGAGCAATTAACTGTTTCTTAATAAATATAACATTTTGAACTAGAATGGTTTTATTTTTTTTTACGTTAAAAGCCTCTAAAAGTAACTGCGACCCCCTTAAAGAGGCATCACGACCCCCCAGGGGGTCGCGACCCACACTTTGAAAAACACTGCATTAAAGAAACGTTCATATATCGTGCTTTTTATTTGACAGGATTTATACCAGGTGCGCAAAGCTCATGTTTGTACTTATGTACAGTAAAATTAGTGAGATTCACATATTTTTTATAATGAGTACATACCCCCGGAGGTATGTACCGCAGTGAATGTGTTATTTAATTTTTATAGTAGATTTTGAGCCATGCTCTAGCGTACATCCTGTATGTTATATGAACAATTCAGTTTTGTTAAAATATTTAATATCTCCTTTTTTTTGGCAAAATTATCTATTTTACGAGTTCTACATCTAGTTATTAAAATGCCTCGACTGAAAATATTGTGTGTAGCTGCAATAATATTAAATAGAAAAATAAGTTTGTTACCAATTAAATTCCATTTGCAGGCTGTGAAACCAGAAAAAACTGATTCAGCATCATCTTCGTAAGAAGAAAGTGACACAATATGAATCTTTGAGGTCTGTAATTTCAGTGCTTTTGTTGAAACTATAGTTTGTAAAGTAAGTAAAGTCAGATTATATTGATGAAGTGAATGAAAAACTTTGATTTATTTACATTATTTTCAATGTGTTGATATTTTTTTTATGTAACTTGTATCAGTTTATTTTTTCCTTCCAGTATTGCTACATTATCATACCAAATGTTTTGTACAGTCGAGTTCAATTTTAGAAAAAGAAATGGGAGTTAATGATTTTATAAAACTGAATTTAGTGCCAGTTTGTAATATTTTTACAATCATTAAGACTATTTTATTTTTTAAATTGTACTAAAATAGTGGAATTATAGTTTATGATAGTTTCTATTGTTTTTTTTTTCAGTACCATTGAGCAAATGGTTTATCGAGTTTAATGTAATAAAACTTTTTTTTAATATTCTTGTTATTTTTCATCATCACCTTTTTCACTTTAGGAGTTCTTGAACAATCACAACAGATAATTATCAGTTGAAAGATATTAAAAGTCTTGAAAAATAAATTGAGTTTGTAAAGAAACTGAACATTTGATTTAGAAAAGAATTATAACAGTAGCACCATCTAATTGCAACAAGCAAAGTTCGGTAGCCTGAACCATATATTTTTCTATTGTACACAATTGCATTTCGAAAGTATCTGGATATTTCGAAACATCTTTGTAATCGAAGTTTATGCACATGGCCGGAGTTCGCACTCAAAGAAATTGGAAACTGCAATACCATAATGCGGCCTCCTATAGGGCCACTATCATGCAATTTTATTCACCTAGATTAACTGCTTGCGGCGACTATTTTCACTTTAACTTTCTAAAACTAAACATTCTGATAAAAGCATCTTGTTAACAAGGACATTCTCTAGAATGAGGTTGCTGCAACTGAATGATATAGAAGCTTTTTCCTTCTAGAGTGAAAGTTTGAGTTTCTTTTTATACAAATAGTGTAGGTACCTATATGAAATGTTTGTAATTTTAAATTTGTAAAATATTTTTTACCTTGATAACGGTTGTTTTCCTTTTCAACTGTACAGGTTTTTAAAATAGTTTTTAATGTAGTATTGTAAATAAAGTATTTTTTGATATATTGTGTTTTATTGAAAATTTTTATATTATGTATTTATAGAATTAAAAAATTTACCATAAAAAGTAAAAAGTATTTAAATTTGGAAAATTCTGCCATCCTTAATAAAAAATATATACAGGGTGGTCCCGAGGTATTGGGCCAAAATTCATGGGTAGATTCCCGAAGCAAAAACGTTGCAATTGAAATTTGAAATTTTGTGGTTCTTTGGGCAGAGGAATTCAAATTGTTCACATTTTGGTTATAGTTTATAGAGGACGCCAACTGCCGTAGATTGAATGTGTTGAAAACGATATATTTTTTTTGTACTTTCATCTGTCTCATCTTTGGTACCAAATTCTTAGTTTCCAACTTTTTTTACAAAAAAAAAAAGGTAGACTCCGAGATATTTGGCTTTCAAACTTCCAATGCTTATAGTTGAAAGAATTAAAATAATTTAGAAATGTCAAAAGCAGAGGTTTATTTAGAATTAAACATTGTAATGAACAGTAAAATAGTACATTAGTAAAAAATATGCCTTTTTGACAATAATTGCTCAAAATGTCCACCTCTGACTTCAATACATTTATCAACGCGTTTATTAAAAGATTGTTTTATTTTAAAGTATAAATCCTTAATGCGAAATAACTTTGCAGCATTTAAAACCTGCTGCTAAAGTTCTTCTCAGGTGTTTATAGTTTCTCCATAAACAACTGATTTTATGTAGGTAACTCCAAAAACGAAAATCTCGGCGTTCTATCACATTTATGTATACAATTTAAATTGAAAGCTGAGATGTAATTTTAATTAGGTACAAATAATACTTAATAGAAATTAACATATAAATGACGGCAATAAGACAAGTGGAAAATGTCAATTATTTGATTTTCGTCCAAATCTAAGAAACTTTACCTCTAAATTAATAATACCTGTTGGTACTTAACTGTAATTTAATGCAACAGCATTGGAAGTTTCAAAGCCAAATATCTCGAAAACGGTGCGAGATAGCTACTTTCATAAAGTATACCTTTTTTGTGCAAAAAAAGTTTGAAAATAAGAATTTGATACCAACGATGAGATATCTTAAAGTACAAAAAAGTTATGTCCTTTTTAACACATTCAATTTATTGCAGCTAGCGCCCTCTATGAACTTTAACCAAAATGTGAATAGATTTCAATTCCTCTACTCAAAGAACTCCAAACCCCAAAATTTTGTGAGGATATTTGCATTTGTTAAGGAATAAATGAAAAAAACTGAAATATTTTACAGTTAACACCCTGTATCTCTTTAACTATCAACTTTTGGACTAAGGTAAGTTGGACTAAATCGCAATATTTTTACTTGTGGAATCTACCCATGAATTTTGGCCCATTGCCTCGGGACCACCCTGTATAATAAATGTCGGTATAATGCAAAAAAATGTTTCAGAAAAACAAAAAGTGGCGAGTTTTAAAAAGGAAATAAGTGTAATATTGCTACACATACAACTCTATCACTATACGAATTTAAAATTCAGTAAATTCAGAGTATTGAAGAGAGAAAGTTGCAAGTGATATTTTTCAGATGTTTCCCACCTAAAATATAATTTCATATTAGTGCGCATTGCTCTATATCAATTTTGAACTGTATTTGAGAGATGAAAATGATAAAAGTATTCACAATCAAAGAGGGAAGGTTCAGAAGTTTTTCTCCGTTGTTTTCCGAGACTCAATTTGGTTAAAATTGGCCAAATCGAAATTATGAATACTGGATAAAAAAATTCCGGAAAAATTCTAATGTGTTCTTTCTGTCTTTTTTTTTCAAGAAAACTCATTGTAAAAACTGATGCTGCTATTTTGGTTCACCAAATGACTAAATCGATGCGCACATCATGGATCGCTGAAGTTGAGGAATTTTATGCGCGTTTTAGGCATGTACTTTAGTGATAAAGATTTCAAAACATATTATACATGGTGATAATAAAAAAATGTTACAAACGTTTTTCATAATTTTATTAAACAAAAAAATTAGCAACAGCTACAGTTAACAGTAACAAATACCTTTGGTAATTGGTTTCAAAGATACTCAGCTCCAAACGTGTTAAAATTTTTCGCAGCTCCGGCGATAATCGGTCTCACTTATGATGCAATAATTGCTTCACCGCCTTCAAACATTTGTGATGTTTTGCACAGGCCCTAGCCTCCAAAATGGACCACATGCTGTAATTCATCGGGTTGAGATCCAGGGAGTAGGGTGGCCATTCCTTTGTAGCAATAAAGCCCGGAAAATGGGCCTTGCATCAGTCCTGCGTTGTTTTTGCATTATGAGCTGGCACAAAATCCCGTTGGAACGTCAAATCTGTACCGCCGAAGTGCTGCTATGTCTAAACCTTCCTTGTCTCAAGTAAAATCAAGAGGGGTTTGCCGCTGGTGCAAAATCTGCCCCAAAACTATCAGCGATTGGGGGTTTTGGCGGCGTTTGACGATGGCAGGTAACCAGGGACCTCTGTGGACCAATTAGTATTGTTTTGACGATTACGGACTTGTTCCACGGTGAACAACTTCTCGTCTGTGAAGAGAATGGTTTCCCAGCCAGTACCTGCGACCCTCTGCTTGAGTTGGTGACATCCTTGCAGGCACAGGCACTTGTTGTCGTTCATAAGGAGTTGAGCTTTTTGGAGTTTGTACGGCTTAAGTCCTAGCTCCATTTTCACCATTTGCTGCACCGAATCCCAATTCATTCAGGTCTCACCAACAATTTTCCGCATAGACTTGAATTTCGTTACACTCACTTGTTGTTGATCTTTTGATTCCTGAACGTTTTATCAAGCTCTTTGAATCGTCGAACAGTGCACGCGAGAGCGTCATTTTAGGAATGTCAAGCAAACGAACAATTTCACATTGACTTTTTTCTTGACTTGGCAGATGAAAATCCCCATAGAACTACTAAAACCAAATGCCAACATGAATTTTCATTAATTTATAGAATGGAATGTGTCCACCGTTCGCCATGGACATTGTTTAGTAGACTAGTCTAGTAAACAACTGAAATAAGAACTGTTGCGAGCCTATACAATGATTCACAACTTATCCAAAAAAATTAGGGAATAGATGCGTGATGAAAAATAGAGCTATTGTAAAAAAAAATTTGTAGACGGAGAAAAAAATTATTGAAATTGTAGTATTTACAACCCTTACACCGCTGGGCTACTGTAGTCTCTAGTGTCATTAGCGTTGTGCGCTGTACGCAATGCGCTCCCTCTCTACGTGGCTCCAGGCGATTCCGAATAATAAAATCTGATTTTAGTATTAACGTTTTAGCGATAGCGTTTATATCAGTTGTTCAAGTGTCAAAAAGGGTTTATGTGTATAGCAACTCAGAGTTGATGGAGATCGTTTTATTTATGGTGAGGCATTTGTGTTAGTTTTGAATGTATCAATTTTAAATTTTATTAATCAATAATAACAATAACAGCAAAAACAGTTCAATTTGCTGATATAAAATAAGTGCTATACAATTGTATTTATTTCTTTCCTTGTCAATTGCACTACTTTTATTTGACATTCTAAACACATAACTCAATTAAATAGTATCAAATGAAAAATACGTTCACTAGTACAAAAAAGCACGGATAATCCGATAAAACAACAATTCATTGGGTATGGTACATGTTAGGACGTATTAAATTTTGTAACATTTTTTTTATTGTCACCGTGTAAAGACTAGGAAAAAATTGCAGTGTATTTCAAAGTGGAAGTCCGTTTTCGTGGTCTGAATGATTTTTTTTTTCAATTTCTGTGGGCACCACATGAAAGAGCATCCCCAAAAAACATGGAGTCAAGTAGGTTTCATTTGACTCCGCGTACAGGTGCAATGATGCCTGTGGTGCAACTATATCTTCTCGAAAATTCGATTTTGAGTGTTAATGGGTTAATAAAGAACTTCAATAAGTTTATCAAAATTTTATTTTGCTTTCTTTAGACATTAACACCTTTTCAACCATTTTAGATCTACTCTCTAATAATGATTTTTGTTCTTCTGGAATGCTTTCGGATTTCAAATTCCTCAGTAAGAAATGGTGAATAAATAAACGTAAACTCTCCCTAAACAACTTCAGTTTCTCAGATTGTGCGACCTTTTCAAATACAGAGAGGCAAGTGTTGAGATCTTTATGGAGCAGAATTCCTAACAAAATTTGTCTCATAAAACGAAGTGTGATTTTGTCTAATTCACCAAATTCCACAATCTGAAAGAAAATCAATGCTTATGTATTTATTATAAGAGGTACGAGGCATATCTACAAAGTAAGGGTACTGAGACTGATGCTCTGCAGTTTTTGTTCTTGACAAAGTTGGCAACACTGCATTCAAGGACAAGGTGATCTCAGTTGAGGACTGTTGTAGTGGCCTGTTGAAATGGGTGTTTCCACAAATCTCCAGATTTCTTCTACATGAAATCATTAGTGCAACACTTGATTATCGAAAATTGTGTGCGTGGTAGGTACCAAAACAGCTCACGGGAATTTATCGTGCCCTTCGAACTGGAAGGTGAACAATTCCTTGTCTGTATAGTTACTGGCGACGAAATGTGGAAGACCCACTACACCCCTGAGGCAAAAAGTCAATCAATGCAACAGCGATATCCGTCTTCACCATCAGCAAAAAATTCAAATTGAAGGTAATTTGTTTGGGAATGGGGTCAGTTTTTAAAGAAAACCAGTTTATTGGTTAGTCGACGTTTCGGCTATATTTAAGCCTTCTTCAGGACAATCCAAAAAAGGTTTTCCGTGTAACAAATAATCTAAATAATGGGGAGTAAAATAGGTAGTATGTTGCTGTATCAAAATAGTACATTACTCGATGTTGATTAAAATATCTATAGATCGATAGATAGATAGATTCATAGATATTTTAATCAACATCGAGTAATGTACTATTTTGATACAGCAACATACTACCTATTTTACTCCCCATTATTTAGATTATTTGTTACACGGAAAACCTTTTTTGGATTGTCCTGAAGAAGGCTTAAATATAGCCGAAACGTCGACTAACCAATGAACTGGTTTTCTTTAAAAACTGACCCCATTCCCAAACAAATTACCTTCAATTTAATCACTGGGTCATGAAAATACTCTAAAAAAAATTCAAAACCATTGAAAGCACTACAGAGGATGATATAGAACAAATGAAGGGAGTGTGCTTGAATGCACGTCTCCACACAGCTAACGCCATAAAGCAACTCAAATTCGTTCGGTTCACGGCACCTCCTGAGTTTGATCTTTTCCCTTCTGTGAAGATGTTTATGGATGAAAAAAGTTTTCTACCGATGATGAGGTCCACAGTTCCGTAAAACAATGAGCCCGAAAGGTGGTGGGAGATTTTTTTGACAAAGGTATCAGAAAGCTCACAAAGTGCATTGAGGTTGAAGGTGACTACGTCCAAAAATAGAGTGATGTACCTTTCCAAATATGTACATTTTATGTAAGTATATGTAAAAATAGAGTATTCTTACTTTGTGGATATGCCTCGTATGTTTTTGTTACCTTTAATGTGGATATTGGTAAACCCTTTTCTATAAACAAATGCGTTAACATCTTTGCAAGGTTGGACAACTGACTTCCAGAATGCTCTCCTAGTGATTTTAACTTATCCCAAATAGAACATTTAATATTCATCTAAAAATGACCTAATGTTATATTTCAGCTGAATTGAACTGAAATTGAATCTATACCTGATATTTCCTATCGTATTCACAAAATTTTTGAGCTAATACTGCATAATAGGGATTATACTGTTTTTCTTGTAAACAGCAATGTAAGATAATATTAATTATTTCTCTTTCTTGCTGATTTTTCAAATTTAAATGTAACAGTTTCTCAAATGCATCTAAGTAATCCTGGAAAATATTAAAATTAATGTCAACTTTTTCAAATGGGGAGTCTTATTTTTTGGTTTCATGAGTTTTTAACTACTTACTACTTCGTCAGCTAAAATGTCTACATCAGTTCTTATCCTATACAGTGTGTTACAAAAAAAGTAGGTTACGTTGTTCAACAGTAGGTTACGTTGTTTATGCGAAAATAATGGAACTTTCCTTATTCTATAATATGTATCAAAAAGTTACAAATTAAAAAATTATATATACAGGGTGTATCACGAAGACGACCCAGTAGAATTATCTCAAAAAGTAGTCAGAATTGAAATCTGAAAATTTGTAATAGTGTTAACTTCCTCTCACTTCTGGTTATAGCAGGTCATCATCAACTCTGTTATTTCAAATGGAACACTGTATATTTATGCATTTTTTAATTCTACTGCAAATTCTAGACTATTTTCATATATGGTACTATAGGCCAAAATGTGACAGTTTCCAAATTATCAATTTTTGACAAAAATTGAGGGATGTAAGTGATTTTTGAAAATAGAATAACTTCAATATTTTGCTTTATTTATTAATGAAATTTGGCATGGATAAAACCAGTTTACGTCAAATCTGCAAAAATTCATACAGTGTTTAAAAACGTGTGACCAATATTGTGATGTTGAAGTTGAATTTCAAATGGTACACCCTGTATATTATTACATTAATGGATGCAGAATTAAATTTAAAATAATGCTATAGTTCCCTAATTCCCAAAGTTAACAGTTCTTGTGTAAATTAGAAATTATTGGTTTCAACAGAGAAAAATCTACGAGTATAGCGGGGGTTTATTTAAAGATTCCCTCTTTTTAATTTAATATACCGAATTATTGTATTTGATGAAGGTATAACGATAACAAAAATTACAGTGTATTAATCAGATACCGTTTATTATTCAAATCTTTAATGCATCAAATCCACCGTAGATTTTTCTGTGTTGAAATCAATAATTTCCAATTTATACAAGAACTGTTAACTTTGGGTATAGGGAATTATAGTAACATTTTAAAGCAAATTTAATTGTGCATCCATTAATGTAATAATATACAGGGTGTACCATTTGAGATATTTGAGTATATTCAACTTTAACATCACAATATTAGCCACACGTTCTTAAACACTCTGTATAAATTTTTGCAAATTTGACATAAACTGGTTGAATTCGATTGCTTTTAAATTATCCATGCCAAATTTCATTAATACATAAAGCTAAATGTCGGATTTACTCTGTTTTCAAAAATCACTTGCATCCAACTTTTTTCGAAATTTGATAATAATTTGAAAACTGTCACATTTTGGCCTATAATACCTTATATGAAAATAGTGTAGAATTTGCGGAAGAATTAAAAAATTCATAAATATACAGTGTTCCAGTTGAAATAACAGTTGACTTCCGATATAACCGGAAGTGCGAGGAAGTTGACACTATTTTCATTGAATAGATCTTTTTTATAAACCCCTGTATACAAATTTTCAGATTTCAATTTTGACTGCTTTCTGAAATAATCCTACTGATGGGCCCTCTTCATGATACACCCTGTATATGAACTGTTTTATAAGATATTCAGTTGTGATTTTCATAAATTGATGCAAAAATGTAGGAAAGAAGGGTTGTGTAGTATACCCAATGACAATGGTTCAATTGTATTGTCCTTTGTGTCAAAACGTTTGTTTCTTTTTTCCTTTTCTATATTTTTTTCAAATATATGATGATATACTCTGTTGTTTAATTTTCTCCAATTTTTCGTGTGCGACAAACTAAGCTTTATTAAAATATCCATAGATAGTTACTGATCAAAATTTGCATAATGTCCATGAGTAAAATTAGTTACGCAACTTGGATTTTTTGAAAAAGTTTATTATTTGTCCTCGGCACAAATGTGGAAATGAAAACTAAAACCACAAATATTCCAGCATATTCAGCCCTTTCTCATTAAAATAATCTGTTTAAGTTTACAGAGGTGGTAGATATATTTAATATTGACATCTTAACGTTTGTCTTGTTTTCTGAGTTCTAATTTTGGCACACAGCTATCTGAATTTTAAATATAATTTCTAAAACTAGATAAGAAAATTAGGAGACGGTTTAACCAAAATCCTTTTTAAAATTGGTATTTTAAGACACAAAATTTTTTAGGAATGGGAAGCCTTAAATAAACTTACCAAAAATGTTCTATCACATATCTTAAGAAGTCGCAATGTTTAGTAAACTAAGCTTACAGCAATTCCCTTTCTCCTGTTCATGTTTCCATTTTTTTAATTAAAAATTAATAGAAAATTGTGCTAGTATGAGACGAAACTTGTATAAAATTACAACTCTATATCTTGAAAAAACAAGAGAGTTGTTAATAAAACCATTTTCTTTAATATTATGTTAAAGTTCTGTATCTTGAAAAAGACGTGCCTAAAAAAATGGCTTGACTTACTTTTTTGTAACACACTGTATATAACACTGTTCTTGAAATTTTCAAATTATTATTGCTTTGACAATTTCAATTTAAAAATACATAGCAAAATATGAAATATATGTAATATTGTACAATGTTTGTATTTATTTTAACATTTTAACCTCTCCACTTAAATGAAAAATGTTTGGATAGATCAATTTTTTATTTGATCAAAAATTTCTTAAGCGTTCTCTACATGACAAAGAGCTACGAGTTTAGTTTTTATTAAATTGTAGGTCGAGTGCATCCATTTAAATGAGCCCAAAATTGCAGAAAAAAAAATTGGATCAATACTTCTTAAAGTATTTTAAAAAATGTTTACTCTGAATAATGAATTTGCGATACCAACAACAAGAACCTTCAACCAGCCAAACTTCATTTACATCGCATCTTATATTTTTATACAAAATTATTGCTTTTGATATCTTTTTCTTTTAATAAACATGGACTTCAAATAAATACATTTGATCTCAAAAAATATATAGATTAATTCAGATTAATCCAGAGAATAAATGACCTACTACGAACAGAGGTCTGTTTGATTTGGTAAGTGAAAATAAAGATTTTTAGAAAGAAATAAAGATTGAATTACAGAAATCACTATTGATCAAATAAGAAATTGATTAGTCCAAGCATTTTTCTTTCTTTGTATAAAGAAATAAAGTTGGAGATGAGTGGGGGTAATGGAGATACCAGTTAAGCCTCGTACCATATTAGGAAAAAGTGACATACCTCTGCTGACATTATTATGCAAAAAATATTTCTTCTTGTGTTTGTGTTCATTCTTTGTTTCTTAGCTAATAATAATAATTTTTCAGAAAATCCATCAGCTTTAGCAGATTTACCCAATTTATCAATATTTTGAGTATTTCCAGTCCAAGCTGATCCAACTACCCACCATCTACCTCTCTCGTCAGCTGAAATGTTTTTAAGATAGTTTTAACATTATATCAGTTCATGTGTAAATTTTTTAAAATTTAGTTATTCAAATGGATAATCATAATGAAATATAAATGTTCAATTACCTTTAAGCAAATCTTCCAGTGAAATATTCAACTGAGTCACATAATTGCCTTTCCTTATAAAAGCCTTCATAATTTTTTTTAAATGCTCCGAATATGAGGTGTCATAATTTGGAATTTTCGTTACATTATTATTTTTAATAGCCAGTAGGATGTCCAACATAAATTTGACACGAGGGCTAAAAGATTATAAAATAAGTGATTTAAAATGATTTGAAGTCCCGTACTTACTTATCTTTTACTTCTTCGGATGCTGCCCCAGCTCGTTTCTGAATATCTAAAATGAAATTTTTCAAAGCTATTGGGTCATCTTTCCTCAGTGTAAAGCCGACACTTTTCAAGATATGTAAAATACATTCCACATCCTTTTCCTCAAATTTACTGGAAAGTTTATACAACATTTCATATAATAACTTCGCATCAAAAAGTTTGAAGTTATATAATTGCGATATTATATTTACAATGTTATCCAACTTTTTGTTCTCTACATCGTGGTTTGCATTCACAAATTCTTCAAATTTTTTCACAACAGACTGCAAAAAATGTGCACCTACAAAATTAGGTAAATTTAAATTATTCAGTAATTTCTTGATTTTTGCTCAAATTTGGAATCGGAAAATAATTGAAAAAGAGTTACTCCCATATGTGAAATTTTGTATATAATGCTAAGCGATCCATACACCTGATGAACATTTTTGCTTGCAGTTACGAGGGTTGTGTTTTATATTTCGGGAATGGACAATCCTAGTGTTTCCATATGACAACTGACATCCTATTGTAAAGTTTTACCTTTTGTTGGTATACTTATTCGGAACATTTTAATATATAGGTGATAATTGTGTTGTTTACAGTGACTTGAAAAATTCATTTCGGCCAAAAAATGGAATTATGTCGTGAACACTGATATTGCAAGATCGTCATGTGACTTACTGTGAGATTGAGGCATCTTTGGGTACTAGTCCATGAAGATACATCATTCTTCACCAGGACAATATAAGCTCTTACCCATCGTCTCAAACAAGAGACTTTTTGAGAATTGGAAGTCAAATTAATGAGTCATCCGCCGAACAGCTCTGATTTGGCACCCATTACTTTTTTTTTATTCCCGCACATCAAAAATAAATCATTAGGACGTTTTTCTATTCCTGAAGAACCAGTTGATGCGTTCAAAACTCATGTTTTGGAAGTACTAGGTACAATCAGAATGGAAAAAGTGCTTTGAAAATTGGTTCGAATACCTATTTTGAAAAACAGTTTCTTTTTTTGTTCTCTATTCTCAAAATATAAAAGGCAACCCTTGTACAAATAATTATTGTCAGAGGTAGATTACTTGTGGCAATCACATGACAAATTTATTCACAACAGAAAGGTATGAATATACATATAGTTTTACAGTACTGTAAAGCAATTCTAATGTGAAAAGTTGCATAATCTACGTCATCATGTTTTGTACCTCTTTTTTTGTGAAACAATGAAAAATCAAAACATAGCTAAATTAGTGTTATATTTTACGCATATGTCGTTCTAACTTACCAACTTCTGTACCAACATTAGCATGTAGAACTATTATCAATACAACATGCTCAATTAACAATCTCTCTGGCGTTATAACCTCGGACACTAATGATTCCATCATTAAATTTGTTAATGTTTCGCTCATATCGTTACGGCTATTATTCATATACATATTTTCAATTTGTGATGCGATGTTATGCATATTACTTTCTGCTAATCTATTTAAGAGACCTAAAATTATATATTTTTTTATATATTATATCATCTAGTATGTATTAACAATGGATACCTTTCAATTGTTTTTTAAGTCTATTCAGTGATTCTATTCGAGTTTTATCTTGTGACACATTTGTTTCTAATTTTGCTCTTATCGTTGGGGGTATGTATTTTTCTTCACTTTTCTAAAAAATATTAACATACAAAATAGTACTACCTATTTATTTGATATAGTAATATTTAAAAAACTTACTAAAATCAAGAAAAAAAATAATAAAATGATCTTTCATTAAACATTCACTGATAAGGAAATATATAAAAAAATATATGTATATATTACAAGCTGTTTTAGAATTTTTAGTAGCTTAATTTAAAATTTGAATTCGAATGATCAAAGTAAGAAAAATATTCTATGAAGGAATGTTCAAGGTTTAATTTACCTGTGTATTGAAATTAGAAAATAAATTCACTTTTCAAAAAAAATCTCTGAGGGTGTTTGTCATGGATTGATGGAACTTAGTCTAATTATTTGTGTAATTCAACACAAAATTTTTTTTAATTCGCATCCAAATATGTCAACCAGTGACGAAGATACTAGAAGTCACTATCATTATAAACCCAAGATATTTTATATCAGTGGCTATTTCGGATTTTTGGTTTGGACATATGATTAAAAATTAATTTTCTTTGTCAAATTACAACTTACAGATCTATATAATATGTAGTGTCACATACAAGCTGCTTCCCAACTCTGTGATTGTATTTATTTTTCAGTGTGAGGCAAGCAGAGTTAAATATGATAAACTTACTGTAAATTTAGCTGTAGTATTTACTTTTTATTTTTCATACTCTTGTGACTTGTGCAATGGGAGTAGGACAAATTAGTTTTTAAATTTATATGAAAAATCATTACAATACAAAAAATAAATTTAAAAGACAAGCCATATTTTATCGCAGCTTAGCCAACTTGATAGTTATAATTTTTAGTTACCAAGACACCTATAGGTAAGTATACTTAAAATCTGTGTCACATTACTTATTATATGTTTTAATGAAATACAAACTTGCATCAAAATTATCCTCACAGAAGGAGACAATGTTCGAGATATTTCTTTTAACATTTTTCTAGCCACTTCAAACTATTTATTTTGTCTTTTTGTGTCTATCGAGAAAGTTATAAAAACTTTTAAAGGGGTTTTAATAGACGCATTAGTACATTTTGGTATACCACTTTCTTGGCGGTATTTCACTTCTTACTTTTATAAACCATCCAACTCTACTATGTAGACCGTAATAAATATTAATGTCAACAGTAGATATTTCAACTATCGAAGCATTCAACTAATCAGTAATAACTGACCTCACAAACCTTAACCTTAACCTCGTGTACAGGTACGTAAATTTTCAAATGAGTATTGCCTTATTTCTTCGATCTTTTTCTCAAAATAAGCAAGACAATTTTTTATTGCATATTCAGTTGATTTCTATTAAATATAAAAATTTTTGAACCTGCCTATTCGATGATTATAATTTTTTCTATGAAAAAAAATCTTTCACTTGAAAAATGAACCATTTTTGTATTATTAATGATTATTAATGTTGCTAAACCCTTCAATATAACTTAAAACTAAAACAAATTTTGCATATTTTCGGTGAGGATAAAGTTTAACGGTTTTTTCAGACTTTCCATTAGACTTTGCAACCTTTTGTGAAACAAGTAGCCTTTAGTTACTTAAAACGAACTGAAGTACTTGGCAACAATTTTTAGGTCTAGGTCACTAACACTAATAATGAACATTTTTAATAGTCAAAACATTTAAAACTTATTGAAAACCTCTACAATAATTTCCAAGTTACATACTACATAAAAAGAGGTGAATATTTGTGGCTGTCAATGGGGTGTGGTCTGTTTCTTCAAGTTTTAGTAATCATCAGTTCTATTTTAGTTTTCATTATGGAAACAGTTTCTTATTGAGAAAATTATCAATGAACAAATGTTTAAGGGAAGTCATTTATATTTCCAGATTCTTATTTTAATTGCTTTTCCTTTTTATGAAACGACAGTGTGCCTATGGGGTGTGCTGTGCATTAATAAGTGCCCTAGAATTTACTTTAGAAGCTTCTTGAGCACAAACGAGAACAAATAAGCATAAATGAGAAAGATCTAAGGATTTAACTTCCACATGAAATAGTTATAAAATTAAAACATCAAACATTTTCATTCATATCAATAAATTTAATTTTAATATTTTTTGAAAATTCAGAATATTGAAAATGTTTCTATTATTAAAATGCGGAGCGATGCTTGTGTAGCGCGAAACTTAATAAAATTCTAAAACAATTTTTGTTTTGTATTGTTGAGCAGAATGTTCGCGCATAATAGGTTTTAGGTGTGCAAACATTTACAAATATTCACAAGTGCACACTGAGAACATTTTACAATACAAGATATAGAGACAACGTATAGAAACACTGATGACAACTGCAGGTTAAGTTAACTGCACATCTTTATGTATAATGATATCCAAATAGGCATGCACGAACACTTGTACAGACATAGAGCTATAGGTGAAGTACACAGTTCCAAAAAAGTTTTCATAGTGTCACTGTGACAAGTCAGTAGGTATTAAAAAAATATATTCTATTTGCAAATTAAAAAATGTTCTATTGGTAAAAAAATATTTCTGCCTATCAAGGTTTTCAGCTCAATTCATTTCATCAAATATTCTCTTCAAATTTGGAGACACCTTTTATTAATACCTGAATAAAGCAGATTTTACTTTTAAATAGATAAATAATTTTAATTAACTTCATTTTCATCATTTCATGTCAGACATTTTTTTAGTGTGAATTTTTCTAAAATTTGAAGTATCTGAAATATGATTACACATTGTTTTTATTTCTCAAATTCAAATTTTAAGTTTGACTTAAATCCTGAAAATATTTGCTTAAATTAAAAATATACTTCTTTATGAACTTACGGTTACAATAGCACCATCGTTAGTTCTCAATCTACCATAAATATCTTCCCAAGTTCCATCTTCATTTTGTTTCATAGTACCTTCAGTATCAAAATTTTTTTCAGATTCAGAAACTTGATCTTCATTAGAAATATCTCCTTCAACTGCAGGATTTGTATCTAAACTGTTTAATTTTACTTTTTTATCTCTAGTTGGACTGGTGTTTGACCCTTTCCCTTTCTTTCTTTTTGTAGCTTTGCCAACTTCCCCTACATTATTTTTACTCTTTTGTTCTTTGACTTTTTCTTTTTTTGTACTGTATTTTTCATTTTCTACAGTCTCTGAATCTGTTTCGTATTCACTTTGATCATTTATATTATCATTCTCTTCTTCGCTCAGTTCCTCCGATTCACCATTCATATCTTCATCTTCACTTTGATCATTTATATCATCATTCTCTTCTTCGCTAAGTTGCTCCGATTCACTATTCATATCTTCATCTGAGTCAGTATCCTCAATGGAAGAATCATTTTCTTTCTCCTTCGTACCATTAGCTTGACCAGTCATCAACGTGAAATCTTCTTCAAATTCATTATTTGCTTCATTTAATTCCTGTTCAGTTGCTATCGTAGAACTCATGGTTTCCGAATCACAAACTTCCAGTAAATCTTAACAATAAAAATCATAGCAAAATATTAGTTTTACACCTAAACCTTTCTCACAAACTTACACACTGATTGGATTGGAAATACTTACAATCTAAGCCATCTTCCGTAAAACTTTTTGGAATAGATTTAGATTTGCGTTTATTTAATTTTAAGTGTTTTTCTAATTGTTTTATATTACGGTCTTCATCAACATTAGCGTCTAGTAGTTGTTTCATTCTTTGTTTCGTCATCTCTTTCTGAAGTTTATTTTTCTCCTTTTGTTCTTTATTTCTTATTGCTTCTATACTAAGAACCTAAAATATTGTTTACAATTAATAATTTACAAATGGATTTTACTAAGTTTTTAGGTTATGTACTTACCTTATTGGATACTGTATCATTTTTCACTTTTTGTTTTTTAAAATCGGCCGTTTTCTGTTCTTTTATATTGTTAGAAGAACTTTTATTTGGATTTAAAACAAATTTGCCAGGTTTATTTCGATTTCTATAAAATTCATTACGTTTAATTTTCTTTCCTTTTCGTTTATCTTTACGTAATTGTTTCCTTGTTACTTTTGAATTAGATTTTGGTGGTTTATTACGTCGTATAGCCATAATAAATAAAAATGTATACGACCAAATAAAAACTAAATATAAAATCACACTTTAAAGATGAACCCTAACCTCACTAACTAGACTACTTTCTACTTCTTCTTCCAAAATATGTATCGGTCCTATCCTATCGCCCGCATTCAATTTTAGTTTATTATAAGACAATACGATCAAAAATATGAAAGTAAGTAGTGCAAGGGTCTGGGGGGCTTTGATTTTGGCAAAATAGTACCTATTAGCCACATACTTCTATACATACATATACAAAGCATTTTGAAGGGGATGGGGAATTGAAGCCAAAAAGTGGGGGTGTTGCACTTTGTGATTATACGCACGCGCTATGATTCATTTTTTCCATTGGTCGGTTTGTCGGTTAACGTCATAGTCATTTCCGAAGATAGGTTATGAATTTGAATAGAAAGACAGCTGAAAATGATTTGGCAAACAAAAAAAAGGAAAGGAAACGAGACAGACCCTTAAAAAACATGGGACCAAGGACGAAGTAGTGGCAGAAGACTTAAAGAAAAGAGGAACAAACTGGCAAAAAGGGATGAATCTAACAAAAAATAAAAAGGAAGATAAAATTTGTTTAGAAGTAAAAATGTATATCTTTACACCCTATGGATACTTAAAGGTTTTATTGATTGAGGATTTTTATTAATTAAGGGTAATGTATTGATGAAATTGGCTAAAGCAAATTTTTACGTGTCCAATCAGTAGCTAGAAATTCCACATTTTACTAATGCATGAGACTTCGTGTTTCATGGTGAACTCTTACTGTTATATATTAAAAGGAGGCGAGTAGTTTCCCTTTATATATTTTTTGTAAATGTCGCAAGAATTTATTTTTATAACCTGTGAAGTTACAAAGCACGCTATGTATGGTACCACATCTACATACGGTGAAAGGTCAAACATGGTTTTTACGTGATCATGTTCAAATAAAGAAACGACACTTAATGTACCTACTTGTGTTTGGAACACAAACTGGATCAGTTATTTTATTTGAAAAATAATACCTGGGGACAATTTATATCTAAAATCGGCACTGCTTCAATGTGTTCTAAGATCTTGACTAGGTTTGCATTGTATATTTAATAAAATAAGACTTGATATTTAGCATATATTAGAAAATCAAATTGAATCTGGTACCGTGAATCACGAAACACTTAGGTTAATATGATTGATATGATTTATTATTATTTATATATGTGTTAGTTAAGGTAGATAACTCGTTATCATTTTTATGTATATTTGTACATAAAGTGTATTTTTATATGAATTTTTGTGATGTGTCTATTTTAAATTTCAAAAAATGTTTACTATTTTATATAAATAACACACTTTTACTCTCTTTTGGATTCCGTTTTATTGTACCCATTTTATTTTACATTCACTATCTAACATTCTCATAAATTACAATTAACAAGTTGTATAATTAGATATACAAAATAATAATTGGTAATTTTACTCTGTTAATAGTAGGTACATCAGTTATTAAATTTCATTTGAAATAATCCGCTAAAATTTCGAGCTTGCGCAAAATTGACAAAATGTAACATGTACACTTTTTATCCCCACTTTTTGGGAACAAGGTCATTAATGTAAAAGATGCAGTTCTTGGTATATGTATGTATAGAGGTATGTGCTTTTAGCAACTAATAACAAGTTCAGAGTAACTCCAAATTGCTATTAGCTACTATTTTTACCAAATCGAAAGGCCCTCTGATATGTAGTTTGAAACACTTGAAAACATTTTAAATCATACTAATGAATCACGCTGATTTCAAATTATACTTTGAAAATCACCAGTGAAAGAATTCGTCTTCGAGTTGAAATGTCTTGCCTGTATTTCGCAAAAGCAGGATAGATAAGAATGAATAATATTAAAGGTCATAATTAAGAATTAAGATAAACAGTTTTAATAAATATACATATTTTTAAATTACTTCATGTGATGACTGATAAACATGATTTGAAAACATATTTCTCCAAGGCCTGTGGCTTTAATTTAAACTGCCTACATTTTTAAATAAATCTCAAATCAGTTTTAACTTTAACCATTTCCACCACTTGAGTTAAGATAGCCAGTTAATAATTCTATAAGTTGTGACAAGAGTCTGTGCATAAATCGAGAATTTTTCAAATATCAGGAAAAATAGTGGTTTGCACTTTAAGCAGGATGGCAATCTTCAAACCAAATCAGAACATTCCCACTAATTCAGGGCCTAGAAATGAGACCTTAGCCAAAATTATTAAGTTGTGTGTGTTAAAAGATTATTATTTTATCATATAATTTGTTATTTATAACCCTTAAAGTAAACAATTCACAATTCATAAAGAGAAGGTGTTTTGAAACAACTTGGACAAAAATAGGCACTACAAAAAATATATTAATTTCTAAAAGACATTTTATTTTCCAATACAAAAATCTTTAAATATAATATCCAGTAAATTATCTGTTGTTACAGTACCTACTAATTTTCCCAGATGCCTTAATGCTTTTCTTAGATGTTCTGCCAGAAGCACTAGATCTGGTGAAATGTCGGGTTGATTAGTATAGTGAGAGTATTTTAAAAATAGATTTAGGCTATTTAAACAGTCAGTCAGATGCTGCCGGTGTCTCTGTTGGTTCATACTTGGATGGTCTTGTGAAGGTTCCCCACATCTGAAATAAAATATTTAATTTTTAATTTAAACCCTAAACACAAAGCCTACAATTTTTCTTTTTCTTTTTTTTTTTTTGTGAAATATGGTATTTATTTATATAGAGTACAGAGTGTCCTAACTAAGCTCCATAGTCTTGCAGCTGTCTTATGATTAATTTTAGCAAAACATAAATTTTATAGTGTATCTGTCAAGAATATTTTCGTTTTATTAGTCCAGGAGTTTCAAGGCCAAAACCTTCCAGATGAGGCTGTTGTTAGACGTAGATTAGATTTTAGTAAAAATCGCTGGAAAAGAATATATACAATCAAAATATAAGTTAGCACTAGGTAAAAAAGTTGTGATATTTGCAGAAAAACTCAAAGAAACGCAAAAATACGCAAGAATTACATATTTCGTCTCTCATTTTACAACATAACTTTTGAAAATATGCAGTTTAGAGAAAAAATCATTACTAATGAAATTATTTGTTATAAAATTTCCAACAAGAATTGTTTTGATACTCGCGCATGTCATATTCTTGTTGCTAGATAGCTAAGACAGCATAAAGTGATGAAAATCGAAGTAATTTTGAAGCGTTCAACTGACAGGTAAGAAATTGTCCCATTCTACAAAAAATGTGGATTTAAGTATTACAGAATAGTTATAGTATTACCCAAATGAAATACCAAAACCCGAACCAAATCGGTCTGATAATTTTCACTTGAGACATTTGTGAATTAATTTCAGCATGAAATGTTATTACATTTTTGCGTTAATGCTGGGGTTAAAGTTGGGGATTTTAATAGGGACTGATTTTTTTACACATACTTGGATCCCTTAAGCGCTCAATGTCTCAAATTCAATGACTTCTATTTTATGATTTCTTTTTTAAATCCATATACTTAGCAAACTTTTTTTAGTACTCTGATATATTTTCCAATCCGCAAAACCGCTTCACAAAATTAATAATTTATAATCAAAATTTTTCGAACATTTAAAATTGTTCCAGAAGTTGTTAAGAAAAAGAAAATTGATATAACATATAACGGTTATACAGTCAAAGTTCCTTAAACATGGTTCCCATATTTGCGGATTCGCTATTTGCAGACCAAAAAATTGTGACCACTTCCTGTATTCACAGGTGAAAAATTCTGTATTGGCGGACCCAAAACTAACAATACATATTGTATTTTTAGAATAATGTGTATTTACTTGTTAAAATAAATAAGTAGGTATCAAAATAGTTATAAACAAACAAATCTTAGTGTCATGATGCCGAAAGTCCTTTGACAAAAGTTGTTGCTGACGCCGCTCGCTTACACACGCCACTATGACCTTTGATAAATGTGACATTAAACTTACCTGAGTGAAGGTTTACGGATGGCAAATGAGCTTTGTGATATCTTGTGATGATAAACATTGATTCGTCTATGGAAAAAAGTCATGTTTTTAAGAAGTAAATTGATAATGCCACAGCTGAATACTAATTCGCCTTAAAAGACCTTTTATTAGCTGGAAAACAAGAAAAAATCACGCCTAAAACTGATAATAATAATTAATATTGTTAAAATTTATCTCGATAAATTACTTTTATTATATTTTTTTATTATTTTGCAACATTGGAACGTATCCCCTATATTTCCATACAAAATGCCGCTCCGTATTCGCGGTACATTTTCGAATAAGGAGCTTTGACTGTATATGATAATTAAGCATGTGTAAAAAAATTTGCGCCAATTAAAATGCTTAATTTTAACCCCAGCATTAAATTAATTAACAAATGGTTCATGCCAAAACTATCAGACCGATTTGGATTGGGTTTTGGGTTTTCGTTTTGTGATACTTAGTACTTAAATTCACATTTATAACATAATTGGACAATTTCTTATCTGACAGTCAAATGCTTTCAAAGTGCCTTGATTTTCATCACTTTTTTACCCTGTTTTGGCTAGCTAGCAGATGTTGCGCTAACTTATATTTTCATTGTATGTATATATTATTTTCGAGCAATTTTTACTAATATCTAATATAAGCCAAGCAACAGCATGCCAATATATAGTGTTCCTGGATAAAGCCTTCATAAATGATTACAAGCCACATGACCAGTAATTTTGTTTGGAACAGTAATTTTATTTCCTTCATGTTGGCAAATAAACGGTGGTAAAATTAAAACAATAAGATCAAGATTACATTGAAACGCAATATTCTGCTTCATCGGCTGTGATTGGTGTAATTTTTCATGAGATTCTATTCAACCAATCAGCGATCGCATTATGGCCCGCACAGGCGTAACGGTTTATCATTGTTTATTGGAAACGAATCATTAATATTGGTGACATCAAGATTTACGGAATTTTCGTTACCGGTACCAACAGTGCTAAGTTGCCTAAGCTCGATGGTCATAGGGCCTTTAAACGTTTATGGAGACTGAACTTCATGACGAAAATGTTTCATTTTCGAGTTTTGCAACCATTCATTTTTTAAAAGTCCAAATGTAAGGTTTTCGTTAACTTCAAACATCTGGACGAAAGATACAGATTAGTAGTTTTCACATATCAGAGTCAAAGATTATGTTTTTAATTGGTAGGAAACATTTCCTCTTAGACGGAGTTGCATGTACGATAATCCAAACTAAAATAAAAAATATTGTTTATTTTCATAACAATTTACTTGGTTGTAAAGCTTAGACATTTAGTTATTTTTCAACATAGTGTCCATTTCTATCCAAGCATTTTTGGAGAAACTGCTCAACTTTTGTATCCCCATGTCGCAGAACTCTGCCGAATATCTGTTAAGGAAACGAGTAACCTCTTCTTTGACTTCATCGTCGGTCTGGAAGCGAAGTCCACCTAAGTGTTCCTTCAATTTCAGGAACAAGTGGTAATCACTAGGGGCTAGGTCCGGACTATACGGGGGGTGGGGAATGACAACCTAATCTTTTCAGTCTTTCTGTAAGCATTTGTGGGACCCACCGTGCACTCGTTGTGGTACTCCAATTTTTCAGACAAAATTCTAAGGAACCCAAAGTGCCAGTTCACTGATGGTTAACCCGCGATCTTCAATCAGTAGTTTCTCGACCTTTTCGACATTCTCTGAAATGGACGGTGTTCCGCTCCGGTCTTCATCGTGAATATTCATGCGACCAGCAGTGAACTCCCTACACCACTTGCGAACGTGTTGCACAGACATGCACTTTTCACCATAAACTTGGCACAACTGACCATGAATGTCTACAGGTGGAACTCTTTTCGCGTTTAAAAACTGTATAACAGCATGGATTTCACACTTGGCGGTAGCAACTATCGGGACTTCCACCGCGGACGACTGTTAGGCCAACACTAAACGGCAGAGATAAGCAGGGAATATTGGGATCGAGAGTGGGAGATCTGCTGCACGTGGCAGTGTTTCCAGATTCTGCCTAATACCTCTCCTTGCGGAACTACCGCTTTGGGAACCTTACTTTTGAATCAACCCTCATAGGCTACTTAATTAATTTTTTTAAAAGGAGCATCAATATTGTTTGCCACCGTTAGATACAGGATTAAATCATCTTTATTTTGATATAAGGTTGTTTATGTTGTCCGAAACGTTTTTTGCTCAAATTATTACTATGATAGCTGTTGAACAATGGAGCTCGGTTGGGCCGCCTATGTACTTAATTTTTAGCAATGTAGAAAACAAGGCAGGTGTTACTTACAATACTTTCAGTCTTTTTGAAATAGTTTGCACTAAATTAGTAATTCCATCTTCGGTTTTGCAGGAGACTGGAACTACAACTTCATCCCTTACATTAAAATTTTCATCATTTTTTAAATCGGTCTTATTTAGTATTACTAGACACTGTTTTGTAAATAAGCGTTCAAAATTTTCAGTATTACAATCATTAAGTAAACTATCTAAGTGTAATGTTTTAATGTACTCTTTTACATAAGTAATAAGTGTTTTATCTACATTTTTAGTTTTCCACGTTATGTATTTTTCTGCATCCACAACCAGGAGAACAAGATCAGACTTTTTATAAAGTTTTAAAGCCCTGCTAATTCCTTCTTTTTCCACAACGTCTTGTGTTTGCGATCTCAATCCAGCAGTATCCGCTAACACTAAAGGGTAGCCACCTATGTTCAAGGTAACTTCTAGGATGTCTCTAGTTGTTCCTTCAATAGGAGTTACAATAGCAGCTGGCCGCTTGCCTAAAGATATGAGAACTTATTAGTTGGTTACTTTTTTAAGTTATTCATATTAATCGCATATAAATTTAAACAAAAACCTCCTTACAGTGATATGGGCGTAGGATATAAGATTATAAAATTTTTTCTACAGGGTGATGTGATTTTTTTTGCTGATACCGATAAGGAGTCGTCCATTAATCACGTGAGGTTTTTTGGCCACTTTTTTACACCCTCCCTCCCCCCTGGTGGGTGAGGTTGTAAGCTATGCCCCTATCTAACATCGCGTGTATTTTTTTTTTTTGTTAAAAAAAACTTCAATATTTTCAGAATATTTTATGAAAAAAATATAAAAAACAGCGGCGGTTGTCAGCCAGCGCGAGCGGGGCGACGGACGATCTTACAAAGATCGACTATGTCAATTGCGCGTTGCTTATCGTGATGTCATATCACAGCTCACAGCAAGGCATTCTCGGGCACGGTTGCGCGAAAATATACACGTGATATGAAACAATACCCCCCCTTCCTCCATTGTGAGCAATAGTGATGTTATCCAAAGCCCCCCTCCCCTATTTGGATCTCACGTGATTAATGGTTGACTCCTAATCTGTCATTAACGATATTTTTAAGGTTGATACTGACAAATATATATTGGTCCATTAGCTGATACTGGTAGTTCTTTATCATTTTAATGTATGCACTTAAATCTGCTAATTTAACTAACTTAAAATATTTATAATAAAAACATAAACCCGATAGGTAAATACCTAATATTTTAGGGCAAGTACGGCCTAGTGAAAAGCAATGCTGATTGTGGTTAGTATTTGGTCACCCACAATCAGAAAAGGCTAGTTTCCTTGTCTAAGCAATCTTAAGTAAAAGTGGGGTTTTGGCAAAATTTTCAGCTGGGGTTTTGTGATGTAATGAAGCTTGCCTAAAATTTCTTTGATATCTATATTTTTAATTAATAATTTTTAATGTTGATATTTTTGCAAATGTTAAATTCAGACATTTAACAGAAACAACAAATAAGTAGGGAAATATATTTCTGGAAACCTGATTTTTCTATTTTCTATTTCTGTGGCCAATTAATATATTTTTTAACATTTCCAGACACTTTCAGTGATTTAATTAAAAAATGTTTTTTCACTAAATAGAATGATTTCAAACATTCAAAATATGGGTGAATCTACAGTATTTAGATTGCGACGGCCCATTAATAAATCTTATTCAACAATTAATTAATTTATTGTCTGTATCAATAATATTATCTTTTATTTAGACCACATATTCAAATTACGATAACTATTTCACTTTAGGCATTTATATGATAAAATAGTGAAAAATGTATACTCCTCTGGCTTGTCCCATTAGCAACTTTTACTAGAATTTTAAACATAATTTTTTTTATTTGACTACTACAATATTATTTCAATTATAATCATGTAACTAAATAAACGTCAACACATTTTCGCAAATTAAGTTGTAAAAATAATTATGAACATAATAATAATGATAAATTTTGACGCCACCAGAAAAAAGTGTCACCAGTGTCACCCTCACCTGGCAAAAACACATGATCAAAATATCGGGTAACAATTACAAACACAGATCTTTGACTTTAAGCGATACGTATTGAATATAATGAATTTTCCAACACGCGCCATTATTCCATGGCTAGAAATTGGCCTCAATGATTTGGGATCGAGGGGGATTATCCCTCTTTATCCTGCCTCATCTCATGTAGGCCTGGACAGCCTTCGTAGGTGGGCCCCATCCGTCGTCTACCCCGACCGCAAATGCGGCCGGTGTACGCGCTTTGTGGGACCTCCTTTTGTCCTGGCTGGGGCCCGCCGGCTAGGGCCTTTTTTTCTGGCGCTCTTCTTGCTTTAATTTTCCAACAAGCTAACTGCGTTGAGCTTATTCAAACTAAAATCGCGTCAGTGGCTGTTACGCTGTCTTAGAGCTTGCTTGCGCTGGTATACATATATTTTTATATTTTATCATTACATAATTTTGCACTGATTAAAAACAATATTAATTGTGACCAGGAGTCATGAATAACTTTTAATTGTAATAACAAGTACATGTTTAATTGTAATTCGATGATATGTGCGATTTTGGTACTTCTCTGGCGTCACTCCTCTGGTAGTTTGTACGCCAGGGGAAACACATGTAATCCAGGGGAATGACAAAAAATGTAACTTGATAGTTAATATTTTAATACTTTATTTTACATGTTTTAGTTAGTTGCTTATGATAAACATAAGCCAAATATCGCGATGAACGTCAAAAAAAACAAACGAGAGAAGAGAGACTGGAAATTTGTCACTGCTCTGTGCATAGTGTCACTCCCCTGACCATACATTTTCCCCTGGTGCCTGTAAATCTTAAAAAATAGAAATATCTTCTGGTCCTTATCACTACAGATATATAAATATTGCCAACTTGTGAAATAATTAATACTATATTAAACTGATTAATTTTTCTTTGGGGACACCGAAAATACATTTACTGTATAAACACCCATATAACACTTATTTACACAACAGAATATTACCTAGGATATTACTTAAAAGATGATAATTTAAATTTAACAGAAGTCTATTAAAAATGTTTCATGATTAATAACTTTTAATAGAACTTATAAGGGTGTATGACTGTCATTCACAAAATAGATCTTAGATTCATTGAGAAATAAAAAAATACAATATGCATTTGAAAATAAAATAAATCAATGTGGATAAATTTATTTGATGAATTTTATTTCAAATAATTTTTCATATAATTAGCAGATTTAAGAGGAATACGTTCCAAGACATCCAAAAATTTATTTTAGGTACAGTTACTTATTAAAAAATACTTGCCTATGCATTATTATTTATTCCGAAGTGCTCAGATTTGCGATAAAAAAATGTGTATTTCCTGTCAAAAACATTTTAAAAAGCAACGTTTTTCGAAAATTTTATATTTATTTTATATTTTAATTGATATGTGATTATGTAAAAAAGAGTTTACAATCGTTTCTTGCAAGTTTTAACAGGGGTATCTAGGAAACCTTGTAATCTGCAATAAACCCTGTAATCTGGACTATATTTTAAAATATTCCAGTTTATGGAACAGAATTATTATTGAATTAGTTATTAGCTACTTTCAATTTGGATTACTTCAGACAGCACTTTTAATAAAGTAACATATTTCTTTTGTTCCCACTTAGTTTGATAAAAAGAATTGAATATTTTACAAAATCACTCACATAGTATATTTAGCAGACTACTCTTTCCAGCATTAGGTTCGCCTAAAATCACCGTCTTCACACCATTACGCAAAATTTCCCCTTTATGACCATTAGATAAATGATTTTCAATTTCATTACACAATTTTCTTACAATTTCCATTACCTCCTGTATGAGATTTTGCTCTAAAGTATCAGTCTCGTCAAAATCTATATGAGCTTCTACACTGGCGACACACTTGATAAGTTCTTTTTTCCACTTATTGTAGAGATTACTTAGTGAACCTTGAGTTTGTAGAAATGCCTAAAAAATTCACTACTGTGGTCTACTTGACAAAAACAATTATGGAAATATTTTAATAGAATAGGTAAATAATTTTTTTTGTTAATCTTTTAAATTAAGACCCACTTGTTTTCTTTGAATTTCAGTTTCTGCTTGTAATAAGTCTGCTAAGCCTTCAACTTCTGTAAGATCTAGTTTTGCATTATGAAATGCTCTCTTGGTAAACTCTCCTGGCTCCGCAAGCCGCAATTTTGGAATGGAACTTAAAGCATCGAAAACTGCATTTATTACTGCCAAACCTCCATGAACTTGTAATTCGAAACTATCTTCTCCTGTAAAACTCTTAGGACCTAGAAATAAAAGGTTTTTAATACATATTCATTCGAAGCAGTTATACTAATTTGTGAAATTCGTAGGAAAATCTTGAATACAGTAAGTATGTCATTTATTTAATTTACCAGGAAACCACAAAATAAGTCCCTTGTCCAAAATTTCATGTGTTTTTGGATGTAGTATGCTTCTTAAAACAGCCGTTCTAGGTTTTGGGAGATCTGACAAATTTGTAACTAGTTTTAGAGCGTTCCCTGAATTTGTTCCAGATATTCGAATTACAGCAACTCCACACTTTCCTTGACCTTAAGGAAGAAAAATAATGTTTTATATGTAATAAATCTTTCCCATCATATACAAACCTGAAGAGAGTGCAAATATAGTATCAGAAGAGCATGATCGGATTAAATTTGATGATAAGAAATTAAAACTAGTTAACATTTTAGGTAATTTTAACATACTTATTATCTGAATTATAATTATTTAAATAATAACAAAAAACACATTTTGTGAGGTTATAAACGCAAACCATCATAGACCATAGACCTTGTACCACTATGAAGTATGAACATAGACAAAGACGGAAAGTATGAACATGAACTATGACTATGAGAGACTAGCAAGGGAAGTCAATCACCTTGATGTGTGCAAGGACTGTAAGGGAGATGATGTGGGTAAATACTGGTATAGCGGTCACCGGTACAAACACCGGCGAATGAACCTTTCTTATAAGTAAACGCATAAACAAAGGTAAAAGTCCTGTAAAAGTTCCCGCGCTAGCCGAAGGGCCACCTTAGCAAGGCGCATCCCAGGCTGCATAGCCGCTAGTGATGGGCTGCTAAATAGCAGCCTGCTTTTTTAAACTGCTATTAGGTTCGTAATAATTCTAACTGCTACGAGCTTCAAAATTAGCTGCTATTTTTAGTAGCAACTAATATTTTAAAATATTTACTGTGACTGGTGACTGGCGCGGACCTCCACGCCATTATTTCATGACTACGCTCGCCATTATTCTATGGCTAGAAATTGGCCTCAATGATTTGGGATCGAGGGGGATTATCCCTCTTTATCCTGCCTCATCTCGTGTAGGCCTGGACAGCCTTCGTAGGTGGGCCCCATCCGTCGTCTACCCCGACCGCAAATGCGGCCGGTGTAGGCGCTTTGTGGGACCTCCTTTTGTCCTGGCTGGGCCCCGCCGGCTAGGGCCCTTTCTTCTGGCGCTCTTCTTGCTTCGCCGGCTCGTCTGTGTAAACCCCGGGGGTAGTGTCATGTTTATGTGTGGTATGGTTGGGTAGGGTAGTGCGGCTATGCAGCCTGGGATGCGCTTTGCTAAGGTGGCCCTTAG